CCGCCTCCTATGAAAACCCTGGCACTGGTGAGAACGGAGTGTCCCCACGTGCTAGTAATTGTTGTTGTTGTTGTTGAACATTATTAATTCTAAAGAATAATTATTGTTGGGACCCCTGGTGCACGGCCCCCCTGCGCCGCCTAGGCCGCAGCTACATTTTCATCATTTTCGTGAGGAAGCCTCAGGTAACGATGTGATCAAGATCCGGTTGTTTTGTTGTAATCCGCTTTCCCTTGCAAAAAACACTATAAAATGACATTTCTTGTTCTAATATAATCAAATTTCAAGAATCCCTTGCAAAAAATAAGGTAAAGTGGACATTCGCGCGCGCAAGACGAAATCCTTCCAAAAGCTTAGTGTTCGGAGCGATTTTAACATAAAAACATCAAAAAACCAATGGTTTTTCAACAAAAAAATGTCAAAATCTCATCCCGCGCGCTCTTGCGGATTCGTAGGAAACCCAACACTTTTTAAACATTTCTGTCAAACGGGCTTTTGCGAGCAACTTTTTCGAACTTCTGCGACAACGGTTGCGCACCTGCCAGGGCCATCATCCCTGTCAAATAATACCATGCGGGACACATTCGTTTTTTCTTCGCGCGCGCACGCCGTCGTCGTCGGCCGCGGGGCCCTGAATAGTAGCCACGGTCGTCCGCATGCCACGAAGTGAAGTGTCCGAACGTCATAGGGCGGGAAGCTGGGTGTGGGTGGTGGCGAAGAGTCGTTTGGAAATTTGGTAGAGCTTGAACCGGCCCCCCCACAAAGTGGGGGTATTGCCCGCCTCCTATGAAAACCCTGGCACTGGTGAGAACGGAGTGTCCCCACGTGCTAGTAATTGTTGTTGTTGTTGTTGTTGTTGTTGTAATCCGGGGGCCAACAACCCAGTTTGTGTTCCGTAATTTTCCCAAATAAAAACCAGGGCTCGAACCCCTGAGGAAACATCTCAATTGAAAAAACGGAATGGTCACCGGAGGGGGGACCAGCAATAGTTACTCATCCGTACTGAAAGTTGAAAACAACAGCGGCCCCCGCCCGATATTGCTTCACACTTGATTCCCAAATCGCGTTCTCGCGCGAAACTTCCTCACTGCGTATACAGGAGTCGCGCCATCGCGTGAGATCTCCTCGCAATTCTAGACGCTTCGCGTATCCCCACCAGCCCGTCCAGAAACGACGCCCAGGCGAGTAGAGGGTCGTCCTGAGGGGCTTTTCGGCGTCTTGGGTGCCTCGGGGGGGCCTCTGTGGGCCGTTCGGGATCCTCTTTGGGGCCTCCTGGGGGCTTCTTGGGGCCTCTTTGGGCCATCTTGGGGCCTTTGGGGGCCTCCTGGGCGCTTTTTGGGGGCGCTTCTTGGGTGCCTCTGGGGGGTCTCTTGGGGCCTCTTGGGGGTCTCTTGGGGGCCTCCTGGGGGCCTCTTGGGGGGCCTCGGAGCCATCTTGGAGGAGATCGATCAAGGAAGGGGGGTTCCCCAATTTCAGCCCCCCCTCAGGAGCCGCGATCTTCGTGAGGGGTGTCGAATTTTAGCCCTCCCAGGGGTCGATCTTGGGCGCTCCAACGCGCCGCGGAACCCCCTGTCCAGGTCAGTGGGGAGGGGGTTAGGGGGAGGGGTAAACCCCTCCCCGAAGGGGAAGAAGGAGGGGTGGAAGAGGAAACGCTCTAAACCACCGACACCCAGAGGGCTGGTGGGATTTATTCAGACGCCGTGCCTTCGACATTCAGGAATCACGCTTTCGCTGTAGAGTTCCTTACAATGTGTTTGGGAATCGCGCTATCGTTCGATATCTCCACGCACTTTATGAAGGACGCACGCTTCAGCAACCCGCTTGCTCGACCTGGCTGCCTGGGCCCGCCTTCCCGACCCGCTCGTTCCTGTCTACCCGCCCGATCTGCCCGTCTGGTTGTGCCACGTGCTTTCTGCTCTTAGCCCCCATTCTTGGTATTCTTTCTCGTGTACCATCCTCCTCCTTTCTGTGTAACCGTTATGGCTCGAGCCCTTTGGTCCCGAGTTGTTCTCAGATTCATCTCGAACCCCGATCAATCGCGCCGCTCCTCTTCAGTGTCCAACTCAAGCTAGCGTTATGCCCTCCTGGACAAACTTCCAGACAATGTTCGCCCCCTTCGGATGCTGCGCCGCGGCGCCTCGCCCCGCTTGCGATGCGACATCGCAGGAAGATCCACTAGCGTCGCTGCTTCGCATTCAGCGCGAGCCTGCTGAACATAACTTTGTCTTTATTCCTGGGAAAGTTTACCGTGCCTTGTTGAAGTGGAAGGGCGCCGAAGAGAAGGAGCTGCAAGCTTTGGAGGCAGGCGACGTGCACGCGGAGGTCGCTTCCGACCCAGAGCCCAACATGTATTTCCGCCAAGTTGCGTTCCACAGGATGGTCCTCAACCTGGATGGGGATGCGCCGTTCGAGGCCATGATGCCTGCCGTGACCCAGATCAACCCTGAAGAGATCACGTCGGACAGTGGCGCGAAGGTCGCGTTCGCGCGTTCCAAGACAAGGCACTGGCCGGAGCCTCCGAAAGCATACGCCGGTAGCTCCGTGGCCATGGCTATCGCAGCACTGAACGAGGCCATCGTTCCCAAGCAGCATCACCCCCAGAGCAACATCAACAACGACTCGCGCCATGTGATCAACGACCAGATCCTGATCCGGATCAAGAAGACGAGTGCCCTCGGCGTTGACGAGAGCCCGACTCCTGAAGGCATCCACCAGGATGGCGCCGAGATGTCTAGCGTGACGCTAATTGGGCGACGGAATGTGACCAGCGGTGGGGAGAGCCGGATTTGGAATCTCAAGCAACCAACGGGCAATTACAGCAGCAACGCGTTTGGCAACTTCAAGAGGCCGAAGAGCATGGACGAGCCCGACGGCTTCGACTGGGCCAATTGCCTCTTCGACAAAGCGCTCACTCAGCCTTGGGAGAGCGTCTTCTTCAATGACCGTTTGGTGAAGCACGAGGCGCGCGCTTTCGCTGGGACCGACGGATGCCATCGCGACGTCATTGTCAATTTCCTCCGGAAGCCCCTGCTGGACGGGAACGACAAGATGAAGATGGAGCCCAGCATGGAAATTGCTTCGATCGTTTGAACGGCCCGGCAGGACTATCCGACATACATCCTAGAAGTATAACGCGTTATACGCCGATGCCGATACGTACCAGGCCACAGCTAGTCCCCCAGAAGTTCACAAATGCGCCCAGCGCATCACGAAGGCGTACTCCCATGCCTACCTCCTTCCACCTGATCGCCGATTGCTCCTTGTACTTCAACTTCTGCCTGTGCTTCAAGTGCTCCCTGCACTCCGATTTCCACGTGCTCTTCCTCTCCCGGGCCCTCGTCTCCCTGGGCGTCGGCGCGAATTATGTGCCAGGTCACAGAGCTGGCCCTCCAGAAGTTCACGCGTGCCATCGTCCAGGGCATCGCGAATGCGTGCTCCTATGCCTACTTCCTCTACCTGCTCGCCGATTTCCTCCTGTACTTGAATTTCCTTCTGCTCCTCCTCTACCCGGGCCTTTTCTAGCCGTGCCTCGACGCGCGCGCGGGCCGCCTCCAGAGCTGCTTCGCGGGGCCTCTCGAGTGCCAGATTGCCGGGCACGCGTATTATATATCATATAATTATAATGTTTTTGAAAGGGCGCACGCGTGCACATGTTGCACCCCTGTCAGATGCATATTGTCCACTCGTGCATGGTCCGCGGAGGCGCGCATCGGAGGCCCCTGTGCGTCCTCGTCCGGCTCTTCTTAAGCCCCTACGCGTGCACTACTTTCCAGCACCTTGCCGGGAGCACTTCTCTCGAGTGAAACTTACATTTTCTCTCGCGACTCTTGTTGGTCCCTTCTCTTTCCCCTGCCCTCGCCTAGCCTCTCGATTTCCGCTCCGTGACCGTTAACGTCCCTTCCTCCATCTTCCTTTCCTCAGGTTCTTCTCCGCGTGGGGCCCTGGGGGCCCCTGGCCTTGCCTCACTTAATTCACCACCCCTTCGGGGGGAGGTGCCCCGTCAGCCGCCGATGTTACGCGGCGCGAGGCAAAGATCCTCTCCTGCGCGGCATCGCCCGAGCTTCCGCCAGATCCGCCGCCTGGCTGAGCGATCTGGGCGCGAGCTCTCGTCTCGAGCCAATGCCGATCTTTCTTGCCGCGACGTTCCGCCATACTCCTGCATCTCTTTCGATTTCTCGGCTCCACAATGAAGACGCTGAAGGAAGGACCACCATCGTCGATGGATCGGCGATGCGGCGCGATCCTCCGACCCCATCTACTCCGAACCCATCTCGGAGGCCTCTTCGGGATCCCCCGGAATTCTTCCGTCACTGTTCCGATCAAGAATTCAGGGAAAGTGGGGGTCGGGGCCCTTGGGGATCCTACAGTTCTTCGAGTTGGCGTGTTTCTTTTGTCCGACGATCGCCGAGTGGAACTCGTCCACCGTGCTCGTTGGAAGTTTTGCGCGTTGTTGCTCTTTTCATGCTGCGCACTGCATCAGTATTTTGTATCCGACCAGCGCCAGGTGGAACACGTCCACTGTGCTTGATGAATTCATGCTGTTGCTCTTTCCGTGGTGTGCACCGCATGTGCCGTGCTGTTTGAGCCGCCAGCTATCGCCAGCCTTCATCAGACCGAAGAACACAAGCTTGTTGTTGATGCTGATGCTGGTAATGTTTGAGATGTTGATGATGATAACGGTGATGATGGATGGTTGCGACGATGACGATGATGAGGATGCGGAGGAATAGGATGATGATGACGACGATATTCAGGATGCGGGTGGTCATGATGATGTCGATCATGCTGTAGATGACCATGATGATGGTGGGCATCATATCATACTCATGCTGATCCTGGTGATGCTGATGTTGATGCTGCTGCTGATGCGAATGTTGAAGTGGAAAATGGTCGCGAGGAGGAGGATGAGGGAAGGAGGAGGGGGAGGGAGGAGAAGAGGAGAGGACAGTCGAGCAGCAGGATGGTCGTGCAGTCTTCCAGCTCCCAGCCGTTCAGCGCAGGGACGTGCCAGCGGCAGACGACCTCCGGTGCTGGGGGGCCGCCTCGCGGGGCGAGCCGAAGGCCACCTCGGGGAAGGGGTGATGCCGGTATGATGAGGGGGGCGGGAACGAGGACGAGGACGAGGAGGACGACATCGAGGAAGAGGAGGTGGAGGAGGCGGGAAGCACGAGGAGGATGGTAAGGGGGACGCGGAGAGGAGGAGGAGGAGGAGGAGGAGGAGGAGGAGGGAAACATATAATGTACGCAATGGTTCGCTGGCTCTTGGCCCCAGTCGTCTCAGTTTCTACACTGTCGATCGCCAGTATGCGGACAAATCCGAGATCAAGCTAGAAGAGGGCCTCGGAGCCCTTTAATTGAAGAATCCGCCAAGCGACGATGGAGGTATGCCGAAGAAATATTACAACTTAACATTACACACTAGAGCGACTTGACGTAAAAAAGATGGTATTCGTAGCCGTGACACCCAGAGTTGGAAACGGGCGTCATTTTCGTACAAACCTTCGTCAAGTGGGCGTTTGCCTTGTTGAAGGATTTAACGGTTGCGGTTTGAACCTCCAGGCCTGATATTGTAAAGGCAGCGCCCAAATTCGCGCAGCAATGCGTAACGATTGCCGCATTATTCGATTTTGTCATACTCGGACGGTACAGCGTATTCCGAAGAGCCAGATAATTCACGCTTGATGCCCAGGAACATGTCGGAGGAAACATTATAGGAGATAGAGCGGGCCATTGTCCACGGCAGATGCGGAGAGCTTCGTGCGAACTTGATGAGACAATAAAGGAGGCAATCAGGAGTTCTGACCTGCAGGAGACATTTCTCGCGGGCTTGTGGCTCAGCCGTAAGTCTAAGATGCACGCGGGTCCCTGGCCGATGCAAATTGCGATGGATGAGCTCGTCGTCGAGGACAAATGCAAGGAGCCGTTGCAATATCAATGTGCTGAGATGTGGGGATGTTTGGTTGCCGAACATGGGCAGCAAAATGCTACGATTGCCATCGGAATCCTGCGTGCTCTTGCAAACTAACGGATTTCCTGATGTCGGCCCAGCCGATTTTGGAACATCCGCTGACGATACGACGCAAGGCACTACGGTCACGGGAGCAACAGTCGAACATTCACCTGGGCATGACAGGACCATCATCCCGGAGGAAATTGCTGCCGACTCAGCCGGCGGTGTTCTCGCACCGAACCTGTAGGGCCCATGGATGTTGACGATTTATCGACGATGCATCGGCGATGCGGCTCGATGTGGGGCCCAATTTTCTCCGCGCCGACGTCGTGGATGTACCGCCGACCTCGCCAGTGCATTGCCGATGCATCGGCGATGCAGCGGCGATGTATCGGCGATGCGGCGCGATCCTCCGACCCCATCTACTCGGACCCCATCTAGGAGGCCTCTAATTGGATGTGCCGACTCGGTCGGTGCTCCTTTTGCTCCTCTTCTTCCCGCGCGGCCGACGGGGGGCGATTTGTTGGCTGCGGCCTCCGATGGCCGCCCCCTCCGCGAGTCGAGGGCGGAAAAGAGGGGGGTGATGACTAGGGGGGGGTGGATATCATGGCGTGGGCCATGATATTTCCCCAGATTTCATGACGCCTCTTCTTATTTCATTACGTTCCTGGCCCCCCCGCTGGGCCGCGCACATGCCGCCGGTCATGATTTGCACCCCCCCCTCTTGGACACCCCCCTCTTGGCCGCTCCCGAGCGAGCCGCGATGCTGGATCGAGACACGCTTAATCATCGCACAACGAAACAAGGCAGCCGATGCCTTGGGCACGTCAAGGACAAACAGGACAGGGCGGAGCGTCAAACGTCGAGCGGGCTCAGGACCAGTATCAGGGCGAGTGGGGCACCGCCCACCACTATGATGATCATAATTTCGGTGGAAAATTCGTGCGCAATGATGCTGAGGAAATGGCGGCGGTGGACTGCATGTGATCATTACGACGCGGTCGTTAGATTACGAGGTGAAGAGACAATGTTGGCAGCGGCTCAGCCGCGGCTGCACTATTTGCGGGAGAAGGACGGGACAAAGAGCCTGCACGCGAACTTCTACGTTCATTTTTGATGCCAGAGGGTTTTATATGTGAGATACGCCGGTCCGTTTCGGTCTACCCCCCAAGGGGAGATCTAACGGCTGCATCGGCGCCCCTTCCCCTGGCGCTATAACAATTGTTTGGAGTTGGCCTTGGGGGGGGGGCACTGTGCTTCGGGGGGCGCCAAGAACCCGTGGATCTCCCGGGGGTAGGCTAAAACGCTGGGCCTACACGTCCAGCCGCGGGGGTAGTAGTTGTTACTTTTCTCTCCACGCTCGCTCCCTGCCAACGCCTGCCGCCGCCGCTGCCGCAGCTGCAAGTCGAAGGATCGAGGCGCCGGATTCGTGCCAGGAGCGCGTCCCGCGCGCGCGGGAAGGGAAGGCGTTTGTGTCGTTGCGTTGTTGTCGTTCCCCCCTCCTTTGCTCTTTCATCTTACTATATCAGCTTAACGGACTACTGAGTCTGAAGAAGCATGTCTGATATGCTCATCATGAGCGATGAGACCAACACATTGGCACCACCATTACATCCTATACTTTAGCGGGGAACTGCATCCCTCTGGCGAAGGACTCCTCCTCCTCCTCCTCCTTCTCCTTCTCCTCTTCCTCCTCCTCCTCGTCCTCCTCCTCCTCCTCCTCCTCCTCCTCCCTCCTCCTCCTCCCTCCTCCTCCTCCTCCTCCTCCTCCTCCCCCCCTCCTTCTCAATGACATCAGTGGGCCCGGAGTGCGGACGGGGGCGGCCCCCGGGGGGCGTGGACGGGGGCCTCCCCGAGCGCGCGCGGACACCGGGCGGCGCCCCGGCAGGGCGGCGCGGCGCCGCCGGCGCGGGCCCCGCCGGCCGAGTCGGCGCGGGAAGAGGAGCTGCGCGGGGAGGCGGCCGCAGGAGGCGCGCGCGGGTTCTGCCGGCCTTCGCGCTTGCTCCGTGCCGCCCCCCCGCGCTAGAGGAGGAAACGCGTGCGCGATGCCGCCTCCCTGCCCGCATTGTCGCCCTCTTGGGCCTTCTGTTGTGTCGGGCCGGTCCCCCATACAGGGGGATTTTCGACATAAAATTAAAAAATACCCCAAAAATAATCCAAAAAGGTCAGACATATTCAACGAATGGTCCCCAGACTATTTCTTGATTGTTTTTTGGATTATTTTTGGTATTTTTTTATTCTTCGTCGAAAATCCCCATGTAGGGGGACAGGCCCGACTTGAGCCTTCTGCGAGGCCATCGTCGCCATGGCTGCGTCCGCTGCGAAAAGCTGGTGGGAACGCCCCCAGGGAGAGGTCCGGGTAGTAGCGGTATCGGTACCTTTCGGTTCCACCCCCTTCGCTGCGCGCTCTATCCACATCACTCTTTCTCTGTCTCCTCCGCCCCCCTCCCTTTCTCCTGATGTTCGGCTCTGTGGATCCTGGAATCTGGGTTGTTTGTGTTACGGCTGTTGTTGCGATCCTTCCCATACATCGGTGTCTCCGTCGTCACATGGGTTTTTTTTGTTTGTTCGCCTGCTTCGTCGTTGTCCTCATTCGTCTTGAACCTCCCACTATACGTAATGTTTTCTCGGCTTCCCTTTATCTATATGTTTCTCTGTCTATGTTTTCTCTCTCTCTCTCTCCCTCTCTCTCTCTCTCTTTTGTCATGCCTACGTTCTCTATTGATGTCCTTGTTTTGTTGTGTATGTTCTGCCGATGTTTGGGTACATGTTTCTCCATATTTCCATGTAGATGCATGTACGATAATGTGTATATATGTATATGTATATATATATATACAGCTCGTTGCATCAGCTTGGCCGAATCACGATGCTTCGGAGCGATCCGTGTGCTGGGCTGGTGGAGGATACTCTTTCCCTCTCCCTCTCCTCTCTTTTCCTGTTTGTTTCAGTCTCCGCAGCTGATGATGATGATGATGATGGTGGCGTTGACGATGATGGTGGACGTGACGCCGCTCGTGATGGTATTGCTTATGCTGCTGATGATGCTGGTGACAGTGCTGCTGCTGCTGCTGCTGAGGATGATGAAGATCACCATGATGATGCTGATGATGATGATGCTGATGGTGATGATGGTGCTGCTGCGGATAATGGTGGTGATGATGACCATGATGATGCTGTTGATGATGGTGGTGGTGATGATGACGATGATGATGATGGTTGTGGTGGTGATGGTTATGATCGTGTTGATGATGGTGGCGGTGGTGATGATGATGGTGGTGGAGATGATGATGGTGATATTGATGGTGATGGAGATGATGATGCTGATGATGATGATGATGATGATGATGATGATGATGGCAGTGTTGATGATGATGATGATGATGATGCTGATGGTGATGATGATGATGATGATGCTGGCATTGTTGATGATGATGATGATGTTGTTGTTGTTGATGATGATGATGCTGATGATGATGATGATGATGATGATGATGCTGATGATGATGATGATGCTGATGATGATGATGATGCTGATGATGATGATGATGGTGATGATGATGCTGATGCTGAGGAGGAGGAGCAGGAGTTTGATGATGACTAGGAAGAACATGTAGATGGGAAGGGGAGCTGCGGGAGAGGGTGAATGGGGGAGCGGAGCCACGTGCGCACGCACACGAACGCACACGCGATCTGATCGAGGGGGCGCGCGGCTGCCCGTGTCCACCACCGCAGTTGCATCAGCCACGGCGGAACCGACAGGCAGTGGTCTTGGCTTGGCATGGCTCGGACGTGTGCTGTTTTCCTTCGGCGAGGACGATCGAGGAGCATCCTTGATCATTTGGCGAGAAAACCACGCACGAAACCAAAAACAACACAGGGAATAGACGTCCGAGCGATGGCAGGTTGGTTGGCACAGACGGACCGACGCAAGCTTGCCGACGCGCACACGCTGCTACGAGCAGCTCGTGCACGCGCGTTTCCCTCGCGCAGTGCAGCTGCGTACAGGTCCTGTGCCCCCTGCAGGCAGCGGCGGGCCCCAGTGCTTCGCAGTCTGGAGGGGGGTCCCTCCGTGGTCGTGGTGGGCCCCGCATCTATGCAGAAGCGCTGAAGTCTTTACGGTCGGCCCGATGCACCAGATCGAGGTCGGCTCGGGGAGGGTACCCTAGTGTTCTTCGTGCTCGTTGGATGCTCTTGTGCATCTTGGGCAGGGTACCGTCGGACGTTCTTTCCAAGGATGCCCTCGAGGGCGCGAAGTTATTCGCGCTTCGCGGTTCGGCTCCGATTCCTCCTCATCCTCCTCTTCTCCCCTGGGAGGCGGCGCGAGAGCGCGAGGTTATTCGCACTTGGCGCTCCGCGCAGCGCGGGAGCGCGAAGTTGGGAGCCCTTGCTTCCTGTGTGTTCTGGCTGGCGGGCAATCCAAACATAAGGGAATCCCTAAGATTGGCAATCTCAGGGATCCGCCCTCAAAAGATAAGGGGATCCCTAGGATTGGCATCGTGATGAGGAGGTGCCCAGCAGAGGAGGAGGAGGAGGAGGAGGAGGAGGAGGAGGAGGAGGACGGGGAGGAGGAGAAGGAGGAGGAGGAGGAGGCGGAGGAGGAGGAGGAGGAGGAGGAGGAGGAGGCGTAAGAGAGGCTGGTCATTTCTGTGTGCTCTGGCTGGCAGGGCGGGCCCCGTCCTCTGCCACGAGCTGGAGGCAGCGCCTCGTGGCCTCGGGGCGCGCGCCCTCTCCGCCTCGGGGGGGGGCCCCCCCGCGGGCAGCCCGCGGGGAGGCCGCGGCGTCGGGGCGGCCCGGCTGTCGCCACGCGGGCGCTGTCCACGACGCCGCGCGCGGTCCTGCCGCTCTCCGGGGGAGGAAGAGGTACCCATACCTCTGCCCTCTCCCAGGCCCAGTCTCCCCCTTTTGGGGGGCCTCCTCGGAGGCCCTCGCCGCCACCGCTGGGTTCGCCTCGAAATCCTGGTCAGAGCGCATTCCGGGAGAGGTCCAGGGAGTAGCGGTATCGGTACCTCTTGTTATCCTCACACTTGCCCACGGACCCAGGCCTCTAGGCACGACGACGTCGAGACGGTGGAAGTGCGCGTATGCGACCGATACCCTCGGCAGTGGGCCGCAAGGCTCGTGGTATCCGAAGGGGCCACGCTGGAAGAGGTGCGCTGTACAGCGCTCCCCGCGGCAGCCGAAGCTGGTGGCGCACCGCAAGATTAGGACGACTGCGGGCATCTGCTGCCCGAGAGCAGCTCGGTTGCCCTCGGCTTCGGAACGCCCCCCCGCGGGATCTGTTTTTCGCTGCATCATCGGCAGCGGGGGGCCTAGGAGGGGCAGACTTCGCAGCAGCAGCGGCTGCAGGGCCACGGGATGCCGCGGCGCCCAGCGGCGTTCCCGAGGCGCGGTTCGGTGCCTGCCGTCGGGGCCCCGGCGGTGGCGGTGCCTCCCGCAGAGCAGCAGCTGGTGGGGCCACCGTGCCGTTGGGTCCTCGGCGCCGCTGGGATATGGCGGGCCTCCGCCCACGGCCACTCGCGGCGGGTTCGTGCCGTGCCGACGCAGCGGGGTCCCCAGCAAGGGCTTCGCGCGCCGCTCGTGAGTCCAGAAGCGGCCGATGTCGGAGGATCTTGCGCAACCAGCATATGTCGACGTGCTGCGGTCGTTCAGGGTTGAACGACGCTGTGTCAGAAGCCAACGCGCAAGTCGTCACGACACGAATCAGCCGTACGATATTAGCCGTACGATGTTCTGGGCTGCGTGGCCAGGCAGCGGCCAGGCAGCCCACCAAGGTGCATGAGGTGCCTCTGCGGGCTCGGCCTGGAGGTGCTTGACGGACCTCTCTTGGCCCAGTCCCACTCCTGGCGGTCCGACTGCTGAATCTATAGGCACTCCAGGGTGGAGCCAGCACCGCCCTCCGTCGCGGTCTCGGCGCCCCTCCTCAGAGCGCAGCGCCGAGATGGTGCTGAGCGAGGACACAGTCGCTCGCGGTGGCTGCGGCGTCGCCTTCGGTGGCGCCTGGGCACTCGCCGCGCGGGCCAGCCCCCCGCTTCTTCAAGGCCTGAGCAGGGCTTAGCAGGGCTTAGCAAGGCTTAGCAGGGCTTATCAGGGCTTAACCTCGGACCGCGCTCGGGCCCACGCGTAGCAGGGCTTCGCAGAGCTCAGCAGGGCTTAGCAGGGCCTAGCAGGGTTTAGCAGGGCCGAGCAAGGCCAGCCTCTTCGAGCCGCGCGAAAACCGAGGGGAGCGCCTCGAGGAGGAAAGCCTGGCCGCGCTGGCCGCCGAGGCGCCGCCTCGAAGCGCCGGCCTCCTTCGCCACGTCGTGCGCCAAGCAGGGGGCTCCGGCCGCGCTGGCCTGGCCGCCGAGGTCCGCCTCCCGGAGCCAAGCCTGGCCGTCGGCCGTGCTGGTGCCGCCCTGCGGACAGCGGCTCCTCGGCGCGCCGCTCCTCCACCGAGGATGAAGTCGTGCCTGTCCCTCGACAGGAGGAGTATTCGAAAGTAGCGAATAAAATAGTCTGGGGACGATCGATTTCGCATTTGTCCGCCATTCTGGGAGCATTTCGAGTGTATCTGGTTTATTTCTCGTTCAGAATCCCCCTGCAGGAGGACAGGCCCGACTGAAGCCCAGGGCCGCGGCGCGCTCGGCGTGGGCGGGCGCCGCCCGCGCCTCCGCGGCGAGGGCTCGGAGCCTCGGGGCCGCCGCCGCGCGGGGCCCGGCGTCGCCCCCGCGGGGGGTCGTCGGCGGCGGGCGGGCGGGCGCGGCGGGCAGGCAGGAGGGGAAGAAACCGTTTTTTTTTGTCGGCGGGGCGAGAGCGAACCTCTTCCGCTAAAAGCTAGGCGGGTTACGCACAGCTTTAATTAGGGAGACAGGGCACAGGCGGGCGGGGCCTCAGGCGGCCGGAGTGGGCGGGAGGGGAAGAAACACTCAGACACAATGAATCGTCGATTCCCCCGAAGATGTGGGAAACCATGGGGAGTGGGGGGGGAGACAGAAACCCAGAAGATGTGGGGAAATATGGGGGATCCTGTTATTTGTGTGTATTTGTTTGCGTGTATCTGAGGGACAAAAACACAGTCGGGGGCGGCAAAGAGGGGGGTGACGACTAGGGGGGGGTGAATATCATGGCGTGGGCCATGATATTTCCCCAGAGTTCATGGCGCCTCGTCTTGTTTCATTACGTCCCTGGCCCCCGCGCTGGGCCGCGCACATGCCGCCGGTCATGATTTGCAGCCCCCCCTCTTGGACACCCCCCTCTTGGCCGCTCCCGGCACAGACACGACACAGACACAATTCATCGTCGATTCCCCAGAACATATGGGAAAACATGGGAAGTGGGGGGGAAGACAAGAATCTAGAAAATGTGGGAGAAAATGGGGGATCCTGTTATTTGTGTCTGCTTATTTGTGTGTCTCAGGGCCCCTTTCGACATGGCATCTGGTCCTGCGCGCACCCGCGAGGGTGCAGTCGGGCGTGTCCCTCCACAGGAGGAATCTTCAAACGTAGTCAAAAACAGTCTGGGGGCGTTTTCTCGACTGCTTGTCACCACTTGGGGGTACAGTCGGGCTGCTGAAAGAAGGAACGCTACATAAGGAACGAAGCCCCTTCTTGTCCCTGGAAGCGCCTCCGTGCCCCAGGAGGGCAAGAGGAACAGCATTGGAGGAACCTAAGGAACACCGAGCCCCTTCCGAACCCAAACTGTTCCTCATTTCAGCGCCTTGACTATATCTGTTGACCCTTTTTCAGTTTTCGTCCAGAGCCCCCCCCCCTGTAGGATCGGGGGAGCGTAAGACCCGGGTTTGCCAGGACTCGGGTTCGCCATCGTTTTTTGACGACCGCGACTCGGATTTTGATAAGGAGGAGTTTTGTGGGATGTCTGCAGCGGGAGGCCTCGTCAAAATGCAGGCTCGGCCTCGTCATTTTTTTGACGACCTCGTCGGGGATTTCCGAGTCCCCCGTACCCGGGTCTTACGTCTCCCCGATAGGAGGGCATGCCCGACCTGACGCGACGGGGGGGCCGCCCGCGACGAGGTCACGGCCACCGCGGCGACGCCGGGAGCGTGCGGCCCAAGGGCGGCTCTGGGCCTCGGCCTGCGGCCGTCCCGGCCGCGCGCCAGTGGCCAGGCCGCCAGCGCCCCTCGGGAGAGCCGCGGGTCCGGCGCCATGCCGGTCGACGCCACGGCTGATGGCCCTGTACTCCACCACCACCACCACCATGAGTTGGAGGGGGAGGGGGTCCTCCTCCTCCTCCTCCTCCTCCTCCTCCTCCTCCTCATCCTCCTCATCCTCCTCATCCTCCTCATCCTCATCCTCCTCATCCTCCTCATCCTCCACCTCCTTCCCTCCTCCAACTTGTGGTGGTGGTGGTGGAAAGCAGGCCCATCAATGGCGCCGTTTCTGGCGCGACGTCCGGCCGATGGCTCCAGCGACAAGTGCAGACCCCGCGCTGGGCGTCATTGCGTGGTGCGTTGCGACGGTCTGCGGCAGCCGCGTCCTTCGCCGCGGGATGCTGCTCTAGACGCCCACTGGACTCCGCAAGCGGCGCCGTAATCGATTCCTGGCTCCGCAACAGCAGCGGTGTAGGAGAAGGGGAAGGATGGAAAGGGGACGAGGGGCGGGATGATGCTGGGGATGGTGGCATTGCTGGCGCCGCCGCCGCCGCCGCCACCGACGACCACGACGACGACGACGACGACGACTACGACTACGACAACGGCTGCGACTGCGGCAACAGATAAGACGACGACGATGAGGATGGATATGAGGAAGATTATGATGTTGATGAGTATGATGATTATGATGATGATGATGGTAATGATGATGTTTTTGATGATGATGCTGATGATGATGGTGGCGGTGAATACGGCAATCATGATGGTGATGATGATGGTGGTGGTGGCGTTGATCATGATGGTGGTGGAAATGATGAGTATGAAGATTCTGGTAACGGTAACGGCAAAAGTATTGGTAATGTGGATGACGATGGTGATGATGATGATGATGATGATGATGATGATGATGATGATGATGATGATGATGATGATGATGGTGATGGTGATGGTGATGGTGATGGTGATGGTGATGGTGATGGTGATGGTGATGGTGATGGTGTTGATGATGGTGTTGATGATGATGATGATGATGATGATGATGATGATGATGATGATGATGATGATGATGATGATGATGATGATGATGATGATGATGATGATGATGCACGTTTTTCTGGTGGGATTGGTGTCTGGTTGAACGACAGCTGCTGCTGCTGATGCTTGTGGCGATGACGAAGCGGAAGCGCAGGAGGGCTGCGCTGTAGGAGGACCTCAGTGGGCCCCGGAAACGGCAGGGCCGTTTTTTCACCGCTTCCGAAAAAATGTCCCTTGGAAGTGGAAACGGCAAAAAAAGGCGACCGGAAACGGCAACGAAAACGGCTCCAGGATTGGAACCGGAGCGGGAGCCCATAAGAGAATTCGGCGACGGAGCCGGCAAAAAATCGGCGTCGGAACCGGCAAGAAAACGGCAAAACGGAACCGGCAGAAAAACGGCCCTTTCGTTTCCAGGGCCCACGAAGGGGAGGATATCCGTCGTCGTCGTCGTTGTCGGCGTCGGCGTCGTCGTCGTCGGCGGCTCTCCACGCGGAGGCGCCGCCCGCTCGCTGGCCGACTCGCGGTCGTGGGAGGATCTCCTGCGGCGGGAGCGGGACTTGAGGCTAGCTGCCGAGGCGCCCCCTTTCTGTACTCCCGCGGAGGAGGAGGAGCGAGGAGGAGGAGGAGGAGGAGGAGGGGGAGGATGGCTCGGGGGCGGAAGAGAGGGGGGTGATGACTGGGGGGGGGGGGATAACATGGCGAGGGGGCCAGGATGTTTTCTCAGAGTTCATGGCGCCTCTTCTTGTTTCATTACGTCCCCAGCCCCCCCCCTGAGCCGCGCACATGCCGCCGGTCATGATTTGCACCCCCCCTCTTCGACACCCCCCTCTTGGCCGCTCCCGAATGAGGAGGGGGATGATGGCGGGGAGTTCGGGAGCAAATCACGGGAGCCCTCTGAATTCCGTCTATAGCGTCGATTGGCGTCTGGGAGTCGTTGCGATAGCGTTGGTTCAGCGTCGGTGAACGTCGATGTAGCGCCCAGTAGTGTCGAATAGCGTCGATTAGCGTCGATTCGCAAAAGTCGACAGGATGGTATGGGAGGCTCCCATCAGTTGCCACTGGGAGGGAGGGGGCGGGGGGGGGGGAATCTGATTTTGATGATGCTGACGGTGGTAATGTTGAATATCATGATAATGCTGATGCTGATTCTGACGATGATGCCGATGATGATGACAATGATGATGATGATGATGATGATGATGATCATCATGATGATGATGATGACGGTGATGATGATGATGATGATGATGTTGATGATGATGATGGTGTTGATGATGATGATGATGATGATGATGATTATGATGATGTCGTTGATGTCGTTGATGATGCTGATGTCGTTTATGATGCAGATGATGATGATGCTGCTGGTGATGCTGATGGTGATGACAACGACGATGATGATGATGATGATGGTGATGCTGATGATGCTGGTATTGGTGATGATGCTGATCATGATAATACTGATGATGATGCTGATGATGATGCTGGTGATGATGGTGATGGCGGTGATGATGATGGTGATTATGATGGCGGAGGTGGTGATTATGTTGATGATAATGATGATGTCATTGCTGGTTCTGAAGAAGATGACGATGGCGATGACGATGATGATCCTGCTGATGATGCTGATGATGATGAGGAACAGGATGGTGATGATGTTGATGATGATGATTTGGATGGTGATGATGATGGTGATGTTGATGATGATGGTGATGATCATGCTGATGATGGTGAGACAGACGTGGATGACGGTTATGGTGATGATGATGGTGAGGAGGAGGAGGAACATGATGTTCATGTTGCTACTGATGTTGATGTTGGTTTCTATGATGGTGGCGATGCTGCTGGTGATGGTGATGCGGATCGCGTTGACGATGATGGTGATGATGAGTATGTGGATGTTGCTTATGCTGCTGCTGATCATGCGTATGATGATGCTGATGATGTTGAAGGTGTGACTCATGTTGATGATTAGAATTGGCAGCATCATTATGGTGATAGGACGGTTGATGCTGATATGGTTGATGATGACGACGGGGATGATGTTGACGATGATGGTGAAGATGCTGATGATGATGCTGACGGTGAAAATGATGACACTTGTGGTAACGATGTTGATATTGGTGATCACGGTGATGCTGGTGATGACGATGTTGATGGTGATATTGCTGATATTGCTGATGCTGATGGTGATGATGATGGTTGTGGTGATGATGATGATGCTGATGCTGACGATGATGATGGTGCTGGCGATGCTGCTGCTGATGATGGTGCTGCTGCTGATGATGCTGATGATGGTTGTGACCATGAGGATGAGGATGAGGATGAGGATGGTGGTGATCATGATGAGGCTGATGATGCTGATGATGCTGATGATGGCGGTGGTGATGATGATGGTGATGGTGGTGGTGGTGGTGATCAGGACGATGATGACGATGGTAAGATGATACTGATAATCATGGGGCTGGTGTCGACGACGATAATGATGATGATGATGCTGCTGATGCTGATGCTGATGATGCTGATGCCGATGCTGATGCTGATGCTGATGCTGCTGCCGATGACGACGACGACGACGCTGATGATGATGATGATGATGATGATGATGATGATGCTGATGCTGATGCTGATGCTGATGCTGATGATGATGATGATGATGATGATGATGATGATGATGATGGTGGTGGTGGTGGTGAGGATGAGGAGGAGGATGATGGTGAGGACGGGGAGGAAACTGAGGAGGCGGACAAGGACGAGGAGGAGGAGGATGAGGAGGAGGAGGACCGCCTGGGCGAACGCCCTGGAAGGGAACAGCGATGGGAATGCGTGGGATAGTGGGGGGGGAAAGCATGGCAACGGCGGGCCGTCAGAGAACTCCAACTTGCTCTTCCTCGGGCGGGTGGGGCTGCTAGAGATCTGCATCCTCGGTGATAATGTATGAAAACGGCGCTCGGACGCCCACACCTCGGGTTTGGGATTTCGGGGCATCCTTCCCCCCCACCCCTCTGTGGCGTGCGATCCTCCCTCTGCTCCTCCTTCCTTCAAGCAGTGGCGAAGCGTCCTGGCTCGCTTATAGCCCTACCAAAGAATGTTCTAAGAACCTTTTTGTGGTTCCCACGACATGTTCTTAGAACAGTTCTGACGGAGTCTGTTTTGTATTCTCACATCGGGTTTGTGTTCTAAGAACGTGGTTTTTGTTATTAGAACATGTTCGGTTCTAAGAACATTTCGTGGTAGGACTACAGGACTGCCGGGGCGGTCGGTCCCTGCTCAATCCTAAAGGCCACGCGCTTGCGCTTACCATGTTGATGACTCGACGCAGAACGTGCGAGCTCAGGGTCTGCACCACACCGACGGGGCATCGGATGGGGGATGGGTGTCGTCAAGGGCGATGCGCGCTCAGGAGCTCCACGTCTCCCAGGCAGCGGTTGCACTTCGGGGTGGTTGGGTGGGTCTGCTGGGCGTTCGCCTACCGGGCGCCCGTGGGCGCCTCCTGGGCGCCCCGTGCGCTGGGCGGGTGCGTCGAGGTTTCGCCCGGCGGCGCTCGCTGGCGCCCGTGGGCGCCTCGCTGGCGCCCCGTGCGCGGGGGGGGTCTGTCGAGGTTTCGCCTGGTGGGCGCCCCGTGGGCGCCCCGTGGGCTCTTTTGCACTGCTGCTGCTGCTTTTATTTATCCTCTTGCTCTCCCCCCCCTTGCTGCTTTCCTCTCTCCTCCTTAGCCACGGGGCGACCTTCTCGCGCAAGTAAAAAAAAAAGTGGGCGCCCCGTGGGCGACCGCAGAACTTGCACCACAGAGCTTGCGCAACGCAGCTGGCACCGCACATGTTGCACTGCCTGTGTTGCGTACGCCACCTGTCTGGCACCAAGCGGCTGGCACCACACATGCTGCGTCGCAGGTATTGCACTGCATGTCGCAGGCCACACAGTTCGTGCCGCATCGATTTCACCAAACATCTTGCACTACATAGCCTACACATCCAAAGTGCACCAGCTGACTGTGTGGGGTGCACGCTGGCATCCACGCAGCACGCGCATGTGCTCTTAGTCTTGAACCAATCTAGCACCATCAGCCTGTCATTCGTTGTTCTGGCTGGACGAGCAAGTGTTTATGATCGATGGATGGAAGTGCGATGAAAGCTGGTTCTGCTTTTCGCGCGCGCTGCCGCTGGTACCAGAGCTCAGTGGAGCCACAATTTAGAGTAGATCCCATGATGATACCATGACGATGCCATGCTTAGGCACCTGCTGGGAGAACAGTCCATGCTGAGTTGCTGGTTCCATGGAATGCCACATGTTTGGACACTTACCGAGAGCGGTACTGTGACAACCGTTGAACATGCAGTCCATGCTGCGACCATGCTGAGACAGAAGCGGTGGAAAGCGTCCGCACTCAAGGTTCAAACTCGAGGGAGTAGCTTCCTCCTATGGAGTGTTGGCCACCAGGTCAATGGTTTACGCAATGTTAAGGTAGTGGTGCTCAGCGGCACGTTGATGGCAGTCATAGTCTTGAGAGATTTCCACCGTTGCCACCACCGACGCTGCGACACGTCATAACAACAATATAAGATTAAGACTACGCGCGATACCTTTTCGTTCGTGATTGCAGATGTCGTTCGCACAGCCTCCAAGTTGTGAGACCCTTTTTCGAAGACGATCCGAGTCGAGCACTGCTCCTGTGCTGCTGGGGCCAGCCGGGCTGCCAACGGTTTTGTTTGCTGTATTGCTCAACCACGCCCGTGCTGCGTCACTCCTCCGACAGCGAGGAAGGCGAGGCGGACGAGGAGGACGGAGAGGACGACGTGGACGAAGAGGCCGAGGAGGACGACGAGGAGGACGACGAGGAGGAGGACGAGGAAGACGAGGACGAGGATGAAGACGAGGACGAGGGCGAGGGCGAGGGCGACGATGACGAAGACGAAGACGGCGAGGACGACGACGGGGAAGCCGAGGACTACGAGGACGGCGAGGACGGCGAAGGCGACGAGGAGGACGGAGGGCCCCCCCCCCTGGTGCAGGCGCGGGTGCGCCAGCTGGAGGAGCTCGCCTCGGCGGTCGGCGCCGAGCTGCGGGCCGCCGCCGACCCGCGCCGCTCCCCCGCGCCCCCACCTCGGCCGCTGGGCGGCCGTGCCGTGCCGTGCCCGCGGTGGTGGCCTGCCCTTGCGTACCAGTCGGACCTGGGTGCAAAAGATCGACGTCGGTCCCCGGACCAGGGCTGGACCCAAACGGTGTTTCTGGTGATTTCGTGGGCCGTGTTCGTTTCGGCTTCGTTTTTTGCGGTGAGGGCAGATTCGACACGAAGGCGGGGGAACACGAAAACAAAACGACAACGAACATCACCGTTTAGGTTCAGCCCTGCCGTGCCGTGCCCGTGGTGGCTGGCTGCCCCTGCGTGCAGCCGGACCGAGGTACGAGATCGAGGTCGGTCCCCAGACCCCCGACGGGCAGTGACAAGAATATCACGATGGGAGGGTTTCTCAATTTTCGGTCCACGGGGGCACGGGGGCACAGGGCCTCGGATGAGAAACTGGTCCCGGGGAAGGGGGTCCAGGCCTCTGGGGGTCGACGCTGTGAAAATGTCATGACATCGGGGGCCTGGGTTCGGGGAGGGTGCCATACAGTGGGAGCGCGCATCAAGAAACCATGTGCTTTTCGTCAGGGTATCCTGGGTTTCTTCGCTCCTCGCGCTGCGCGGTGTCTTCCCGCAGCCGTTGAAGGAGCTGCTGCGTTCAGGGTGCTCCCGGTTTCCCCTCAGGTGCACCCCGCGCGCGGGTTCTCAGGGTTGGGTTTCTTGCGAGGGTTTATTGCGGCCGCGCCCGCACTGCAAGGTTCTTTGTGTTTGGTGGATGTTCTTGTGCATCCCGGGGAGGGTACCCTCGGAAAGTTCTGTATGTTCTGGCCGGCGGAGGGCCTCGTGCTCTCTTTAGGGATGTTCTCCTGTCCCAGGTCCGACTGCAGCTATCGGGGGAAGACTGCGAAGACCTCAGTTACGGCCGGTGCCGCTGGCCCTGCAGGGGGACGACGACGATAGCGGCGGCGGCGGCGACGCTGTGCAGTCGTGTCGTTGGGGGAAGGTTTGTGTCCACCGCCCCCGCGCGTAGCTTTCTTTGGATCAGCCTCTTCTCTCGGGTGATGTGCAAAAATCGTGTCCCCAGGGGATGCCAACCCTCTACACAACCCGCTCTCCACGGTCTCGTGCAGGACCTGCTTGTTTGTGGGGGTCTTGCTCCCAAGTCCAGTTCGATTGCGGTAGGTTCATGTGGCGTTGGCTCTCCGACGACGCTGGCGAAGGCGTTCAAGGTTGAACACTGCGACGCGGAAGCACCGAGGGATTCGGTAACCCACTGGACCCGACTGAATTCGACCTTGAATGATCGGGGCCGCGATCATCGATTCAATGTTGAACGATCGACGCAGTGCCGAAAACCGTTGCGCGCGCCGACGCCGCGCGAACCTGCCGTATTACAGTCGAGGCTGACTAGCAATTAGGTCGGCTCGGCCAAATCTAGGATGGCCATGTGTCCTGTGTTTCGCGACCCATCCTTTGGCTTCGTGGCCCTCCGAAGGGTCTTTGTCCGCTCGCGTGTCCTCTCCAATCAACGCCGACCGTAGGACGACCCTGCGGAATTAAGGGACCCTTGTGCTGGAGCCAGCCGGGGGTCTGAGGTGGCCCGTCACTGGTTCCAGCCAGCAGGAAGTCAGGCGATCGCAGACATGGATCAAGGGGGCGAGTATCAGCGACGGGTCCCTTTTCCGTGGGAAATCGCGGATTTCAGCCGCCGAGCGAGGCGGCACCGGCCGCATTTTGGGGAGGGCACCTCCCCCGATCCATGGATCTGGCGACCGCGCGCCAAAGCCATGGATCGCTAATCCATGTTTGAGCGCCCTTGAGGAATGGCGGGCAGGTTCGAGGCGCTTGTTTCGGGAGGAGTTTTTGCCTGTCTCGGCCTCTGGGACAGTCAGAAACGGATCCTGGGCGAACGCCTGCACCAGATGGACCCAGGGAGGATCCAGGGACCGATTTTGAGTGCATTTGGCCTCCTCGCCCCTTCGGACCCAGCCAATTTCAGACCCCCCAGCCGCCAGCAAGTCGACCCTGCCGAGTCAGGGGTACCCTTGTGTCCTGCGTTTCGCGGCCCGAGTCCTTCGCATTCCTGGGGGAATGTGGCCCCTCGAAGCCCAGACATGCGACGTTCTGATTTTGTCCATACGGTCGCCGGAAGTCCCTACCCTTTCCCTGGGACCGGTTTTTCATTGGGGCCCGCCAAGGGCTCACAGAGGTCCAAAACTACCAACACCCTCGCGTCCTGGCTTTTTCTAGGACGCGAGCATGTCCGGGAGAGTCTTGTGTCTTCTAGCGTATCAGGAGGGAAAAAGACAAACACAAATGACCGTCGATCCCAAGGAAAAGATAGGAAAATAATGAGAAGCAGAGGGGGAGACGAAGTTCCAGAACATTTGGAAAATAGGGGGAGTCCTGGGATCTGTGTCTATTCATCATTTGTGTGTCCCTGGGCCCCTTTAGCGCAGCCTTCCCAGTCAAACTCGACGATCGGGGTATAGCGCATCCCGGCGAGAGCGGGGGACCAGGAGGTCCACAGGTACGTACCTTGGCGCTCCCTTCGTCTTGGCATCGCTCAGACGTGTGCAGTCTTTCCTCGGCAAGGACCATCGAGGAGCCTCCTCCTCCTCCACCTCCTCCTCCTCCTCCTCCTCCACCTCCTCCACCTCCTCCTCCTCCTCCGTAGCCATTTTGGCTCAAGATGACTTCCTGGGAGGCTGTTCAGCCTCCAGGCAGATCGGAAGCTGCTGCCGCAGCAAGTCTTTCAGCGTTTCGGCCTGGTCCGCCCCAGGTGAGGAGCTCGGCAGTCCAGTGCCGAGCCGCAGCGGCATGGCTCCTCAGCCTCGTGGCGGCGGCGGCGTTGGCGCTGGTGCAGCGCGTGACGCAGTTCAGGGGACGAGTTGGCGTTGCGACCGCTGCCACTACAAGAACCTGGGCTGGCGCGCGAAGTGTCGGCAAGCGGGGTGCACGGGCTGCAGGCCGACCAATCGTGTACCTGCTCCTCGTTCTGGCCCTCCTCCAGCGCGTGGGGCGTGGGCGGACGGAGGTGCAGACTCCCGCCCTTGGCACACGATGGCCAACCCGAAGCGTGGAGGTGGCGGGGGCTCTGGGGCGCAGCCGCCCAAGCTCTCGCCCGAGGCCCGCGACCGCTTCATGGCCCTCAGTGACGACGACTTCGAGCTGCTGTCCGTCACGCTGGCCGCCAGCGACAAGCACAGCCTGCGCCAGTCGCGCTTCTTGCTGCAGCAGCAGTTGGGCGTGCTGTCCGACGTCAAGATCGTCAAGTCTGCGCAGGTCGCAGCCGACGAGGCCTGCAAGCGGCTCCAGCAGGCCAAGGCGGACTACAACAAGAAGCAGAAGATGGTTACGGAGGCGCTGCAGGCAGCGTTCCAGCAGAAGGAGAAGGTCGCGCAGCTGCAGCTCGAGCTGGACGAGGCCGTCTCCAAGGCGAAGGCCGCGCTCGCCAACGGCGCCGAGCCCAAGCCAGCTGTTGGAGGAGCAGATCTCAGCGGCATCCTCGGCAACGTGGAGAAGCTCAGGACGCTCGTGGGAACCTCTTCGGAGAGCCAGGGCGTCCAGCTTCCAGAGTCCTTGCTGGGACCTCTCCAAGCGCTGCTGGCAGGTGTGTCCGCGCTTGCCGCGCCACCTGAACCAGTCGCTGCTGGAGGATGTGGAGGAGGAGCCGCACCTGCAGGCCGCGCTGCCGCCGCCGCTGGGGCCGGCGACGCTGCCGCCGACAAGCCCGTGGGCGAGTCCGAAGACATGGGCCTGGAGGGCGACCCCCTGGGCTTCGCGACGGGCGACACCTTCAAGGCCGCGGCGGAGGACTTCATCGGCACGGACGCGGAGAAGCGGAAGTTCCTCGAGGAGTTACAGGCCCACCTGCAGCAACAGCACGTCGCCGCGATGGAGGCCAAGCGGCGTAAGCTTTAGCCGCAGCAGCTCCTGGCGCTTCGTCACGTTGAATATGAATGCGTATTCGAACATCGACAAGTGCCTGGTCGAGGAGCTGACGAGCTGCGACGCAATTTTGTTCCAAGAGACGCGGCTGGGAGAAGCGCGCACGGCGGACGCTGAAGGGGAGCTTCGCCGTCGAGGGCTTCGAGCATGTGGTGCTGCCGCGGTGCCATCGCTGGCTGGAGGGCTGGCAACTGGGGGGCTGCTCACCTGTGTGCGCAGCGAGCATGGCCTTGCCACCATGCTGGGGTCGCGGCCTTCTGTGCTTCAAGAAGGGCGCGTGCAAGTGCTCCATCGCTCGGGGCTGCTGCGAGGCGGCATCGTGATGGCCAACATCTACCTGCAGTCAGGCGTCGGCGTCAACGCGTTCAACGCCCAGATGCTGCGCGACCTGGCCTGCAGGCTGCGCGAGTACGGTCGCCCATACGTGGTCGGGGGCGACTTCAACTGTACCAAGCAGGAGCTGGCCAAGTCAGGCGTGCTGCGGTTCTTCGATGCGGTCGTCGTCGACACGCTGGAGCCCACCTGTGCGCAGTCGAAGCGGACGATCGATATGTTCATCGTCTCGCGTGGGCTCAAGGTGACCAACATCAGCGTGGTCAGCGGGTCGCCCGTCTACCCGCACAAGCCAGTCATCCTGGAGCTGGAGGCGTGTCGCCAACGGCCGTGGGTTCGGGTCGTGCCAGTGCCCAAGCCCTTCCCTGTCCAGCGGCCTGCTGGATGTGCTCGCGTCGCCCACGGCGACCGCTGGGCCGAGATCGGCCACGAGCTGCAGAGCGTGCTGGCAGGCGCGCAGGAGTCGGAGTGCCTGGACGTTTCCCGTGTGACCTCACCGCCGCCCGTTGCGGGGCCCGCGAGCGAGGGAAGGTCGTGCCACTTGGAGGAGTGTGTGCGGGATCAGGTCAAGGGTAGCACCGACGTCAAGGGTAACCTCACCGCCGCGTGGCAGAGGTTCCTCGACGCAGCCGAGGACGAGTGGATCGACATCTACCAGGTCGAGGAGGACAGGGTCAAGCACAAGGGGCGAGCTCGCCCCGTGGAGCCGCGCTGGCTTCG